AGAGAGAGAGAGAGAGAGAGAGAGAGAGGATTCGGATTGTAAGGGGCGCAAAAGAGCAATTTCGCTGAGTAGCAACGCCACTAGGCGCGCACATCAAGAGAGTGAGTGAGAGAGAGAGGCAGAGGAAGAGGTGGGGGTGGAGTGTGTCGAAGCAATGAGATAAAGAGAGAGAGCGAAGTGTAAAGACAGAAGCCCCCCCCCCCCTCTCTCTCTCTCTCTCTCTCTCTCTCTCTCTCTCTCTCTCTCTCTCTCTCTCTCTGGCCCCTTCCCTCCCACGTTGTCCCTCGCGCTAGCAGCGGGCCGCGTCCCTTTTCTATCCCCATTCAAAGTTTCCATTCCCTCGTTATCCCCACTTCCCTCCGACTCTCCAGCCCACGCAGGAAAAGAGAGGAAGTCACAGTATTGTGGTGCGCGCTCCTCGGGCGCCGGCGTGTGAATGCCTTTTGCGCGGGACCCCTTTTCTGTGGTGCCCGGCGGGAGCGCCGAGCGCCGCGGGGCTGGCTTCGCTCGGCTTCGCTTCCCAGCGGGGACTTGCAGGCGCGCAAGGCAGCAACGGCACACCGTCCCTTTTGAACACCGCACGCCCCCGCGCCCGCCCGCCCGACTCATCAGCGCCGCCTGTAAATAACCCAGCCTCACCTGCGAATAACCAAGCCTCGTCTGTGAATAACCCAGCGTCGTCGCACCGGAAATAACATGTCTCCGGCCCTCTCTGTCTGTCACTGGGACTCACCTGCAGGTTCCGAAAGCGGTGCGTGCGGCAGAGGCGGTGGCAGCGGCGCTGCAGCGCCCAGCCCAGCCTGGCCAGCGGCCTCTTGGGCTTGGAGCGGCCCTTGCCGGGCTTGGCGCCCATCAGGTACACGGCCTCGGCGTCGCAGACGACGCGCGCGTCCCCGCGCGCCGCGGCCGCGCAGTCGCCGCCGTCGAGGTCGCCGACGGCCGCCTCGGCGTCCAGCCGGGCGCCGTTGCCGGGTGACGCCTCGTCGCCCCAGGAGTCGTCGGCCTCGTCCTCCTCGCGGATGCTGGCGTTGCGGCTGCCCATGGAGCTCTGGAAGCAAAGCGGTGGCGGTGGCGGTGAGCGGCGTGGTCGTGACCGGGGGCCCCAGGACCCGCACCCCAGCCCATCGGCCGCAAGTGGATTTTCACGGGCCGCTGCGCCGCCCGCTCCCCACTCGCTCTGTAATCCCGCGCCCGCTCCCGCGCTTCCCGGAGCTGATCACTGATCCCCCTGTTTCGTGCGAATGACGCGGGTGGGGCCCCAGTGCGGCTGCGGCCGGCCCGGACCCTCCTCGTCACGCGCTGCGCTCCGCTCACGATCAGGTTTCCGATTTTGTCCAAGGCAGAGTAGTTATAGGGTAGCGCGGTAACCTTTCGAGACTTTGTACACCAAAGTTCTGGACTTGATTTGTATATCATTCACTGAGAATTTCACAAAAATCATAGAAGTTTCGGTGGAGCGCAAGCTTGAAATTCTCAAAATCAGCAAAGATTGATAGTTTTTCAACCAAATTTTTTTGAACGATCCGAAACATCTGAACATTCGTATGGAGACTAATAAATCAAAATTGAAGTCATGGAATTTGTCATATTTTACACCTTTGACTATGACACCTTTTATACACCTTTAGACATCTTTAATAATTGAATACGCCACGAGTTCAACTAGGTACTCACCCCCAGCATGCGGTTGCCGGCCAAGGCTCTAGCGCGCATGGCGCCCGGGGCGGCGGGTGGCGCGCCGGCCGCGCCCGCCGAGGTGTTGAAGTGCTCGATCACCTCCCAGTTGGACTTCCTGGGCTGGTGCGGCAGCTGCGGCGAGGCGGGGCTCGGGCTGTGCGAGGGCGACGAGCTGGCGGGGGACGACCCTGGCGCGGGGTCCCCTGGCCGCAGCAGCGCCGACGACTCGCGGAGCTCCAGGACGCCGCCGACCACGCCGCCGCCCCCGCCCCCGCCGCGCGCAGAGCCGCGCAGGTGGTGGCGCAGGCTGGCGCAGCGCCGCCCCCCGCGTGACTCGGCCGCCCCACCGTCCTGCCAAACACGACCCGAACGCGTTGTCTCAGAGAGCCCGGCGGAACAGCTGCTTTGCTTTTGACGCAGGCTGTCAGGAAGGCCGCAACCGCCCCTGCCGTGCCTCAAAGGTGCAAATTAAAATTCTTTTCCGTAAAGGACACAATGAGGGAGGCAGCAGCAGTGGGCGCCGGTGGCTGACGAGGGAAGTATAAGGAAGCTGGGCTGTAGAGAGAAAGGTGTCAAACAGACGGACGGGGGCTAATGAATGCCGCTTTTACAAAACAAGAGTGGTGTCGCAAACTGTTCCAAAGCGAATCGCTACAACAAAGAACAAGGTAACCTTCGGAAGTGTCGATCTCCGATACTGGAAAGTCCGAGGCGAGAGAAAGTCGTAATTCACCATAACAGACACATCAGAGATACCTAACACGCCAAGTTGTTTGCACAATACACACAAAATTCTTCGTATTGGCTTATCGCATTTCAATTTCTTCGCAGCTTACAAAACAAAGGTTTTAGGCATTGTGTCTTTGGTTCGAGCAAGTTCCATTGAAAAATTTATTCTGTTGTAATTTAACATTAAGAAATTCTTCATAAATTGTTTTTGGCTTTATGTCAATCTAAAGCGATCACTTTAGATAATTTATTATTTCCTGTCGTATGAGAGAATCAACTTTTCTAATGGAATTTCCTTTAATCAAACAAACATTTTTTTTTTTGTTTTTCGAGTCTACAAGTGTTGTTTTTCACTCACATCGTCTGGGTTCTTCTTGGGCCCCCGCAGGCTGAGGCGCCGCTTCCAGTCGACGGGCCGCCGGGTGGAGTCGTTGCTCCAGCTGCGCAGCATGGCCGCGGTCACATCACGTCCGGGCGGCGCGGGGGGCAGCGGGGGCCCAGGCGGGGGCAGCCCCGCGCGCGCGCGCCCATCCCGCCCGAGGGTCCGGTGGACCTGCAGGAGGTAAAGGTGAAATGTGATTAAATCCTCCTTATTGAACAATCCGCTTTCTGCAACTGCTGAAAACTATAGGGTGGGCATGTGCTAAATATAGGGGCTAGGGTTTATTTCCTTTACAAGAGGAATTACAACAAGCACAACGCTTTAGCACATTTTACTGCTTTCTAGTGCCTTTGAGATTCTTGAAATAAGTACGCATTAAACGAGCCTTTTTTATGGTTACAGTTGCAGCTATCAGCGCCTCCTGAACCCATCCACAAGGCAAATCGTGCATACCACCGCAAGCACGACCAACGACACCGCGGTGGCGCGCCAAGGCCGTAAGAGGCATGTTTACATTCCACAGGCCTGGAATTCACAAAAGGAAGTCGCACACTGGCCGAAATGCGTTCTGAAAGCCTGTGACGCAAACAACTTTATTGACATTGAAACATTTTTTGCGTCTCCGCTCTGACCAGCCCTGCGACTCTTGCGGGGCTGCCCACACGGAGAGCCCCTGTGCTGGCCGGGGCGGGCCGCGCGCGCACACGGCTGTCGCCTGGGTTGCCTACCCTCGACTCCGCAGGCGTTCGGCCGAGGAGGACCTCGGGAGCACAACCCCGCTGTTTATTATTTATGGCCCGCGTTGTTTGGAGCGTCTGGTTACGTTATTTTGCGTCCGCTCACCCACACCGACGCTCTCTCCTCTCCCCTCTTTCAAAAGAAATATTAATAAAGATAATTGGCACTTAACTTCGGCACGCGAACACGACTCCACCTGGCACACCCCGCGGCGTGACATATTTCGCCAGACTTTTTTCTTTCTTTTTTTTAGAATCCGCTGCTGATGTCACAAAAGTAATAATAACGACAGTTTGCAGGCGGAGACCGGATGGGCAGAGCCGTCAAATAACTGAAACCACCCCCTGCCACGACGCGACGCGCCGATTCGGGACAAAGAATGTTTTTATCACCACCCCCGCCGTGTGCGGTCGTAACTTAATACGTGGCGCGGCCAGAATCGCACCCCTCCACAACATCACCCGCCACCTCTCTCTCTCTCTCTCTCTCTCTCTCTCTCTCTCTCTCTCCCCCACTTGCTCACCCTCTGCTCTTCCCATTGCCCGTGTGGCTGAAATGAATCGGTTTGAATGGCGAGGCAGGAGGGCTGGGCCTCTCACCGCCGCGACCGTCGCTTCTACGCCACGCCCTGCACGCGCTGTTGGTGACGGGGAGGAGAGGCCAGGTCTGGTCTGACCACCCCATCCATCCACATTTTTTCACGTACAATAAAATGAAATTAACCTCTCACGAGAAGTGAGGCACGCTATACTAAAAAGTCTTACAAAGGGTCTCACTGTAAGTTTACACTGAAATCTGCGGAAATCTGTAAAACGTTAAGGATTAGCCGCTGGACAAGCATAATGTGTTTACTTCGCTCCCTCTAATAAAAGGTCTGGCTGGTTTAACAAGCCAATAGTTCTAGCCAACAGGTTTTGGGGTCTGTGGGGCGTGGCGGGGCGTGGTGGGGTGCGGCGGCCGGGCATGGTGGGGCGTGGATCGGGGCGGGGTGCGGCGGCCATTAGGGGGCTGGCGAGTCGGGTTACCGCCCAGCCCCCCTGCCCCACCAGCTCCACGCCCCGCGCTCCGTTCGAGAAAATCGGTGGGCAAGGGTGAGGGAGGAGAGAGCGGGGGTGGGCACGTGGGGGAAGGCAAGGTAGGGTGTGGGTGGGTGGGGGAGGTGTCCTGTCTCGTCGAGCCAAGGAGCTGGTTAAACCGCTCGACCAAACAAGGGTGTTTGGATTGTGTGCAAACGAGCAGGCCACGGCAAGGTTTTCGTGAGTTAAAGGTAAGGGGGGGGATTATCGACCGAGGGTGGCAGTCAGGAAATGAGAGCGGGCCCCCCCTTTTGTGTGTGATCGGCATATTCTGATTGACCAGTCTGACGGCACGGACCGATGATGTTTTGTGTGATTGGCTTTGGCGCGTTTATAAGCACGCGTAAATGAAAAGCACAGAGTTGGTTTAATTAGCCGTTGTATCGTAGCCACCGCCAGTGTTTACCCACGGGAGGGAGCTGCGGAGCGCAGGGGGTGGGGGCCGAGGCTGGCTGGAGCGCACGGTATTCAAACCGACCGCATAGTAGTTGTGCACATTATATTGGAGAGGCGGTAGTGGACACCATGCATGACTAACGCCAGAACAAAAAAAAAAAAAAAAAAAAAAAACAAGTATCTCCCCTCCATGTGCCAACTTGTGACATATTTTTGTTTCGGTTCATATTACTGAGATCTACACTCAAAAAACGAAATCCTTTAGAATTAAGGAATTTTGGGTCGGCGACAAGGGCATTTTTTGACCTGGCTTTCTTTCTTTCTTTATTTCTTTCTTGTTGTTTTCCTCTTTTGCTTTATTTTCAAGGACTTGATTTTCAATGGTTATTTTGTTCTCGTCTGCTCGTAATATACCTATAACACCTGTTTCCAAATATTATTATTTATCTGCTACGCGCTTTTGGCCACATTTCACAGAGCAAAGTAAAGAAACGAAGTAGAACTCCAAAAGTAAAACGATCATTGCTTTTTAAGAGCAGCAATTTCTGCGTGGTGGATATTTTCGCGGTGACGGTGCTAATCCCGAAACGCGATGAAAAGCGCCGAGGTTCTGCATGTGGCAGCTCGTTTACACCCAGCTCGCGCTGTTTGACACTGGAAACGAAATCATCGACGTTTTAATAAAACGCGGACACCGCAAAAATAATGATAACGTTTAGGAAAATGCAGAATAATAAAAGAAAAACAGACGAAAGTGGGAATAAGGGGAATAACGGTTGAGGTGGTGCGAGCAGGCGAGGGGCTGGTTCGTGCTGCTGCTTGACAACAAAAGCCCCCACGCGACGTAAATAACGCGGATAAAAAAACAGGGGCGCTACGCTCCGCACGCCATATCTGTACCATGTCAGCATTACCTTAATAGCGTGATTGTTTGCCAAAATGAGGTGGGGTAGCGTCCGCCCCGCGCAGCTGTGCATGCCCGCCATTACCGATATCACCCGATACACCTCGCCCGATCGGGTACATAGGGCGCAGCTCATCTGTGTACACAGAAGCTCTGCTTCCCTGTGTGGATTTTCGTTTGAAAACCGTGTTATACTCTCAAACGACCGGCAGATTTTTTAATTTTATTTTTCTCTCTCGGAAGGGGCCGGGGCGTCCAGACGTCTCCTGACGCCGGCAGCTGCTTGTTTAGCATTTCTTGATTGCGACCTTTTAAGTCGCATCACCTTCTCAGGAAATTCTTTTGTACGATGCAAGCGTCTGCCATTGTAGACGCTGTCGAGCCGCTCAAAATACGGTTTCCCACCCTCTCCTCCCAACCCCATCATCACCTAGCTCACTGGTTTCACTCGCTCTCTATCTCGTTATGTGTTTTGATAGCCGTCTGTCGCGGCTGCTATACCTTCCTTTTTTATAATCTCACTAAGAAGATGATGTAATCTCAAGATGAGCCCCGACAACATTGTTTCCGCGGGAAGCAATTAGTCTCACGGTAAAAACAATGTCTATTTTTTTAGGCAAAAAAGGAAAAACTTTGAGGAACTCTCTTTTTTGAGTAAAACCTCCTGAGATTCGAGGAGTTTTTCTCATAAAAAGAAGATATTTCACACATTTTTGAGGAGCCTTTCTAAAATGTCTG